AAAAACCCCAAAAACCCGCCCAAAAAACCCCAAAAACCCGCCCAAAAAAACCAAAAACCCGCCCAAAATAACCCCGAAAACCCCCCCAAAAAAACCTCGTTATGGCACAGCACTGCGAGGGGGGGACACCCCGAAATTAGGGAGAACCCCCCAAAAAAATCATAAAAACAACCTAAAAAACCAAAAAAACCCGCCCAAAAAAACCCAAAACCCGCCCAAAATAACCCAGAAAACCCCCCAAAAAAACCTCGTTATGGCACAGCACTGCGGGGGGGGGACACCCCGAAATTAGGGAGAACCCCCCGAAAAAATCATAAAAACAACCTAAAAAAACCCCAAAAACCCGCTCAAAAAACCCCAAAAACCCGCCCAAAATAACCCCAAAACCCGCCCAAAAAAACCCCAAAAACGACCCAAAACCATCCCATATTTTTGGGAGGGGGTCCAGGATATTTTGGGGTTCTCCCGGATATTTTGGGGGGTCCCAGCCCGGATTTTGGGGCGAATCCAGAACATTTTGGGGAGGGTCCAGGGTGGGACCCCGATATTTGGGGTGGGATCTGAATATTTAGGGGCGGATCCAGATTTTGGGATTTTGGGGGGGGTCCAGGATATTTTGGGGGTTCTCCCAGACATTTTGGGGGGTCCCAGCCCGGATTTTGGGGCGGATCCAGAACATTTTGGGAAAGGTCCGGAATGAGATCCCAACATTTTGGGTGAAATCCCGACATTTAGGGAGGGACTCAAGGTGGATCTGGATTTTGGGATTTTTGGGAGGGGGTCCAGGATATTTGGGGGTTCTCCCAGACATTTTGGGGGGTCCCAGCCCGGATTTTGGGGCGAATCCAGAACATTTTGGGGAAGCTCCAGGGTGAGATCCCAACATTTTGGGTGAGATCCCAACATTTGGGGAGGGACTCCAAGTGGATCCGGATTTTGGGGGGGGTCCAGGATATTTGGGGGTTCTCCCTGACATTTTGGGGGGTCCCAGCCCGGATTTTGGGGCGGATCTAAAACATTTTGGGGAAGCTCCAGGGTGAGATCCCAACATTTCGGGGTGGGATCT